CTAAAATCTGGCTCCCTATAGCTTGAGCTAATGATTACATTTCCTGCACATGTCCTGGGATGATCAAGAACAGATCCTGTCCCTCCTCTGTATGATTACCTTTCAGCTATTTGAGAACTGCTATCATATCCCCCTCAGTCTTTTTTCAAGGCTAAACATGCCAAGCTCTTTATGTACAGACCGATGACCAGATGATAATAGACGAAGGGACAGTTGTGTGTTAACACAGTAATGGAGTTACCATTGCTAGCGTGTAACTACATATATTTATAACTTGGGTTCTGTAATATTTTATGGGCATAAAACAGTTGCCTCCCTTTAGAGATTCTGTTGTCTCTTGCCAGAAACATCTCCTAGCATTCCCACGACAACCAAGTCCACTTGGCCTACAGCCAGTGAAGACCTACTGACTGAAAAAATTAGCAGCTTGAGAGTCCCATTCACAGCTTCACCGAATTCTAGAGCTAGACAGGACCTAAAGGTTTTTTGAGCTGAGCTCCCTGTAGAAACAGGAAATCCATCCTGACAGATGGCCATCAAAACATCTGCTTAAAAACTTCTGATGGAGAAGAGTCCAGCTCCTCCTGAGGCAGTCTGTTCCCATGTCGAACATCTCGTGCTGTCAGGAAGTTATTCGTAATGCGGAGTCAAAATCAGCTCTCTTATAAGATGCATCCATTATTTCCTTTCCTATGCTCCGGAAGTTGCATTTGACTTGGATATGAGAGAACAACCTCAAACCCCTTCATGGATTGCTGCCTTGTCATGGCGAAGGGGCTTGAGTAATTCAGAGAAGCTATGGGCTATGCCGTGCAGGAACACCCAAGACGGACAGGTCATAGTGGAGAGGTCTGACTAAATGCAATCCACCTGGAGCAGGAACTGGCAAGCCACTCCAGTATCTTTGCCAAGAAAATCCCATGAACAGAAACAGTGGAAGACAGGAGGGCCTGGCGTGCTCTGGTCCATGGGGTCACGAAGAGTCAGACACGATTAAACGACTAAACAACAACAACAATGCTCTGGAATGGAGCAAATTTGGTACATCTTCCACATGACAGCCCTTCAAATATCTGAAGACAGTGTCACCTCTCGGTTTCTTCTGTGCTAAACATGTCCAGTTCCGTCAACCATGCTTCATAGGTCTTGATTATCAGACTTTTATCATCCTGTTTGTCCTTATCTGTACACTTTTCAACTTCTCAGTTATCCCTCTTAAACTGCAGTGCCCAGAGATGGACACAGTATTTAGGTGAGCAGAGCACAGTAGAGTGGTACTATTCCTGTGTTAAACTATTGTCCTTTTTATCTGTACCCTCACATGAGCACATAGGATATTTATTTGCACTTTTGTGTTTAACGAAAACTCCCACGTAAATACATCTGTTCAGACGAACACATCTATTTCATCATAAATAAATACTTCTGTGGGCCTTTGGAACGATAATGATAAATAATTGCTTTTAAAAGAGAACTTTCCACGCTCTGTTCTTTCCTCTGCAGAAATGAAGGCCTTGCCCTGGAAATAGGTGGGGCCCTCTACTTCTTTATCTTCATCACGTTTGGGGCCTTCATCTTCGCCAATCTGCTGGTGGCTGTGGTGACGACAAACCTGGAGCAGTCCATGGCTGCGTACAATGAGGAGAGACAGTTGCAAGAAGCTCAAACCCTTCTTGCGTTGGCCTACATCAGGCTGGATGTGAGTTAAGTAATTCGGGGGCTGGAGAGAGAAGCCACAGGGAAGACCTAGACACCAAATTCTTGGTACTGTAGTATGTTACTCGAGTATTTCAAATACTTCTTTCTGGCCCGTTTTTGTGACTGAGCAATTACACTTGCAAATGAAAAACTGTGCTTATCTCCTGATGATGTTGAGAATTTTGATTAAACGTGTATTCTCATAACATTAGCAGAGTAAGGAGATATTAGTTTTCATAGACACTATGATACTGAGAAAGCAAAATATCAACTTAGTCTATTTATATATATACACATAGAGAACAGACATTCATCTGGCAGCATGACATAACGTGAAGCAAAACACAGCACAGGAAAAAGGTGATTTGACTTGCAGCAGATAAAATGTCCCCTTTACACATGACTGATGTACAGTTCTGGGACCAATCAGAAAATACATTATTTCATTTTCAGTTACACAAAGTTTCATCATGTACCACAGCTGTACAACATTAAGTCTCAAACCATGGTAATTACATGTGAATACAATCAGTACAATGACTCAGGTAAACCCAGCCATTTTACATTTAACTATACAACATTTATATTTAATACATATTCACATCAAAATCTCAACAGATGACTGGTAGTAAAACAAAGCAAACAACTAGATCAGGAATATTTGTTTATGATTACAGCTGCTAGGATCTATGGTGCAATACCAAAAGTTTCCCATTTCTGTGCGAATGTATAGACTATAGGAGGTATGGAAAGCTTCTGCTGTGACAACAGTCTGAGCACTCAAAGAATCCTGTTTTTTAATACTGTAATGTGCTATCTATCAAGTATAACAGCCATTAGAAACCAGACTCTCTGAGCCTTTTAGAATAATTAAGGTACACTATAATTGTAACTTAACAAAGGATAACTCCTTTTGCAGTTTACTTTGAATTTAACAGGGTTATAACAGTTGCTTTTATAGTTTTGGGAGTGTGTCCTAATTAAATAATGGTAGAAGAGAAATGTCACACAGTTGAACTGTTGGCTTATGCTGTGCTTCATTAAAAGCTTTCAGATATTTTGGGTCTTTTAAAAAGAACTATTCTGAACTGTTGGCTTATGCTGTGCTTCATTAAAAGCTTTCAGATATTTTGGCTCTTTTAAAAAGAACTATTCTGGTTATTTCTGAGCAATGGAGTATATAAGCAGCACGCTTTGCTTTTGCTTTTTATTTCTGAGTAATGGAAAGTAAGGAAAGACTTTTATAAAAGAGTAGCTTTACCAGTAACTCTGTTGTTATTTCAGTTTTTTTGTGAAAGTATAAATGAAGATTTTGGAGCATGTTTGGCTGACCAGCAGACTTAACTTTTAGCTTTGTTCCTGTAAAAGACCGTCCACGGCCATGACAGAAAGAAACTGTGTATGCAGTTCCCTCGGAGCTTGGAGGGAAAAATAAATTTTGTGCCACAGCTTCCAGATTTCCTCAGCAAGCTTAGCTAGAGGCAAACATTTTTCTCATTCCCTCATCTAGAACTTGGGGTTGTATATTAAATAAGCTGTTTGTACCAGCAAAATCTGATGCTGAGCAAACCTGGTTATTAAGGACAGTAGTTCAAAAACTGGGGCAGATGCAAAGTCCTTAGCTCACAACATCAGGTGCTAACAAAGCAAAACAGAGTTTAGGTTCAAACTGATTCTTTGTTATCTTTGTTTCCTTTAGAATCTAAACTCCGTTTTGCTTTGCTGTCTGTCTGGCTTCATAAATCAAAGGTATTACATCTGCCCCAATTTTTGAATGATTGCTCTGAACTTCAGGTTCTGGAGGACTCCAAATCTCATCTTGTTTGTAACTTTTCAGTAATTCAACAAAGATGTAGTAAACAAAGTAAGGAATTTTTTCCATGTTATGAACGTCCTGTTGCACAGTACAACAATAAAGACAATATAAAAAACCCCATAGCAATGATTTGTGAGATGATGTTATATTATGAGACTGGGATACCATATAGGACAGCTGCTAACTATCTTTGACCTTTAGGATGATGCAGATGATGACTTCCCCATGAGTCAATCTGAGCCTGTGCATATGAAAGAGGTCATGCATGGAACACCTATGACCCATCGTCAAGAACTGCTTAGCTTTGGTAATCTGAGCAGTCTGACCGAAGCTACGTGTGAAGATCTCTGTGTTGTCTTGGAAGCAATCCACGAGAATATAAAAGAATACCAGGTGATCCGAGATGAGCTCGAACGGTAAGACAACCCACAACTTCTTGTTTGTTCTCCAAGATCCAAGTCAAATGCAACTTCATCATATCAAATGTACATTTTAAGATATAAAAAGCTTGAAAACACCTCTAGAAGTTATGTGATGTGTTGCTTGATCTCATGGGGCTTCCAGCCTGATTGCAAAAGCTCTCTGCAGATTATTAGGGTAGTTCTCAAACAGTGATAAGGAGCGATCAAGGGCCAGAGATAGCCGCCTAGAGTGGTCATCGCTTGACCAGATAGGCGGGATACAAATAAAATAAATAATAATAATAAGAGATACCAGGAGAGAGAATGAGGAAAAGGAAGTGGAAATAGGAAGAGATAGATAACCATAAACAGAGCAGGTGGTAAATGCTCAGTGGAAGCAGCTATGAAGATTTTTGTTTACTTGCTTTGATCCCTTGCAGAATAGTCCAGGAAGTGAGATCCATCAGATTCAATATAGAGCAAGAACAAGAGATAGTTCTACGAAACATCCGTGGGGCAAACATCTCGGAAACAGTGCTTGGCCCCGATGTCACACAAGGGAAACTGGGTGATGTTCTGACTGCGCTGATGAACCTGGAAAAGGTACAGTTGTGTCTAGAGATGGGCACGAAGCAGAAAAACATCAAATCAGGACGGCTCATGGCTAACCATCCACGAACCCCAGAAAAACTAACGGGTTCGCAGTTTGTTTTTCTGGTTTGTGCCTGGAGGGAGGGGAACCTAATGCAAAATGGCTTGGATAAACAAACTACAAACAGAACCATGAACCAGGCCAGTTCGCAAGGTTTTTTTTAATCCGTAGTTGGGTTTGTGCCCATCTCTAGTTGTGTCATTGTAAGTTGGAAGGCAGTCGTGGCCGCAGGTATTTCAACAGATGCCATAGATCAGCATCACTCCAATCCAGCCTCCTGGATTATAATTCCCCTTATTCCCTTAGACCTGCATGTTCAGGAGCAGGGTGCTGTGGGAACCTCTGCTGCTGAGAAGGAATTGCAGGAGAGTGCTGTGAATCCTGGCCCTGTTTTGACAAGTCCAAGCAGCATCTGCTTGACCTCTGCGGGTAGCAGATGCTGCACCAGAAGAGGGTGGACAATTCTTGCCCTCCAGATGTTATTGTTTTGCAGTTTCAACATGTTCCAGTCTCCATAGCAAGGGACAAAGACCCCAGTCTTCCACCACTGGACAACACAGATGGAAGATGCACATGGCACCCTCTTAATGTCCCTATATGGGTTTCTGCCCACATGCTTCCACTGCTAAATTCTACCTCCCAGCCACCATTTATTTCACACGGCTTTTCAACAGCTCACAGTCGCCTTGTTGCAAGTAGTGAGGAAAGAACATTATGTCTCAGGAGCACAACAAATGCTGTGTGCGGAAATGCAACCTTCATGGCCCAAACCTTTTGTGGGACTTGCACATTTGTATATGTTTGAAATCGACTTTCAGTAGCAAAGCCTTTTTTCCCCCCATTTTTACTTAGATGCCTCTCTCTGCTGCTCAGCTTTCGAGTATCTCTGTGTATCTCACTCTACCATTCCCAGAAGCCCCTAGCCAACATGGTTACTGGCTCTGGCGGTGGTGGGATCCTGGGAGTTGTAGTATTTGCAGCAATTATTCCAAACTCTACTTCCATCCCAGTTGATTTTACAGGGTGCTGAATATAGGCGGCATGCAGCCTGTGGCTCTCTCTCTGCTGCTCAGCTTTCGAGTATCTCTGTGTATCTCACTCTACCATTCCCAGAAGCCCCTAGCCAACATGGTTACTGGCTCTGGCGGTGGTGGGATCCTGGGAGTTGTAGTATTTGCAGCAATTATTCCAAACTCTACTTCCATCCCAGTTGATTTTACAGGGTGCTGAATATAGGAGGCATGCAGCCTATGGCTCATGCAACATGCCAAATGACCTAGAGTTCAGAAAGGGAGCAGGCGTAAGGAGATGAAGCGTTTTTCATTCATTCATTTATTCATTCATTCATTCATTCATTCATTTAACTTACATGCCACCCACACTACCTGACAGTGGCAGCTCTCCTCAAGTTATGGCAACTTCAGAGGCCATGCCTACTATATTCATATTCTTATTTTCACCTTCTTATCCCTTGGGCTGTGCCTTGGCTCACTGGACAGACCCCCCTCCTGTTCATTACACATGAATAGGTACATGTAGAGGTGTACCATCCACAGTCCAGACACACCTGCTCCCGGTACTTTCATGGATGCAGCCAACAGCAACATACCCATCCTTCTTGACTTCCTTCCTCTACGCTGTGCATGGCCAGCTGTACCCTTCGGCAAACAGCCCATCTCATATGGCCAGTGGTGATTGGAGGCTGTCGCCACAGCTTCTGGCTGCTTTTCCTGGGTATTGCTGTCAATTTTGAGGGCAGCCTTATGTACATTTCGTAGCCTGACTTGCATCCCCCTCAGCTAGACCAGTCCCTCAGGTGTGATGAAGGGCTCTATCCTGTCAACAGAGTTGCAACAGGATTCCGCTGACAATCCTATTGGGCTTGATAGATCTAACGGGTAGGTAGGGCTCTTGGCCTCCGGCGGTGAAGTGCCCTGATGTTGTCTGTCCTTCTTTTTGCAATCTTCCTTTTGCAGTCCAGCATGATGGAGGCAGAATACCAGAAGGGAGCAGTGAAAACAGCAGCCATGCGAGCCCGGCGGCAGTCGCTCATTACGGTACATTGAATGATAGCTTGTGCACCTTAGGCCTCGTTTACATGGGTCTTGCCGCATGACTGGATTTATAGTTAATTATATTAAGAAAGCAGATTTATAGAAGGGAGACAAATGACAGATTTAACCAGAAGAGTATTGAACGTGGTACACATAATAACTAAACATAAGATGAAAGTAGGAATAATTCCACTGGAGATTTCTAAAGTGTTGACCAACACTTTAGAAATATCCAGTAAGAATGTTGATAGAAAGAACTGGACGTGGAAAATTGTTTAAGGGTACAATACACTAACTATATTCTAATAGTTATGCATGTGTATTAGTGAATGATGGAAATCTGACATATCAAATTTTCCTAGGCTGAGGTACCAGACAATGATAGCCCCTTTCCACAATACTACAGTAGTATCTCGGTTTACGAAATTAAACCATCATCCGGGACGGGGAAATTATGTAAACCGGAATGCGGATTGCTGTAGCAACAGTGGCAGCGGTGGTAGAAACCTCCAGGCGCAATGCATCCTTTTCGTACAGCGAAACCCGCCCCCCCCCCGGTGAAAAACCGTAAACCGAGGCATTATTTCTTATGGATTTCAGCTCGTAAACTGAAAATTATGTAAACCGAGGTACATGTAAACCGAGGTACTACTATATTTGCTTTAGTGATAGAACTATTCATGAATGTTATTAGGCAGGACAAATTAATAAGGAGCATAGGTTTTAAAGCTACAATTAAGATTAATGTACTTGCAGATAACACATTATTAACAATAGAATACCCACCAAAGGTGATGAAATGGGTGAAAGTGTATTTGAAGGGATTTGAGGAAGTAACTGGTTGTATGTATAAATTGGAACAAAGTAGAGATGATGTTATTTAACTGTGATAAAGTAGAGAAAGAGATGATTAAGAAAAAACTTGATCTTAAAATAAAAAAAACCTATTAAGGACTTCGGTATAAAAATTTCCAAAATTAAGAAAAAACTTGATCTTAAAATAAAATAAAAATCTATTAAGGACTTTGGTATAAAAATTTCCAAAGAAAAATGGCAAGATTTTAAAGTAAATTTTGATACATTGAAACCTGAAGTTAAAAATAAATTAGATGAATAAAGAAAGTTAAAATAATCATGGTTTGGCAAAATCACTTTGTGTAAAATGAAGATATTGGCCAAAATAAATTTCTTATTTATGATGTTACTGTTAAAAATGTTACCGTGTTTCCCCAAAAATAAGATGGGGTCTTATATTAATTTTTGCTCCAGAAATGCATTAGGTCTTATTTTCAGGGGATGTTTTATTTTTTTCATGTACAACCATCTACATTTATTCAAATACAGTCATGTCATCTTCTTCTGGTTGCTGCACCAGGGTGGAGGGCCGGGTTTCACTTCACTAGGGCTTATTTTGGGGGTAGGGCTTATATTACGAGCATCCTGAAAAAAATCATACTAGGGCTTATTTTCAGGTTAGGTCTTATTTTTGGGAAAACAGGGCAGAACAAGATTTGAAGGATTGGCATGAGACAGACAGCATATGGAGTATCTTTAACCTCCACCCACCGCCTCCTGTCTGTATTTGTTTCTATGTCTTTTTGTTTTTGTTTTCTTTGTTGGATCATCATGTTTGTACCATTTTCCTTGTTTCTCCACCCTTTTTTAGGCAGGAGGACCTGCAGACAAGATCAAGAAACGCCGGGAGAGCTTGGTAAGAATCGATGTGCATACAGTGGGGTCTCTACTTAAGAACGTCCCTACTTAAGAACAATCCAACTTAAGAACAGCTCCATTTGCTAAATTTTGCTTCTACTTGAGAACAGAAATCCAAGATAAGAACAGGAAAAAAAAACCTTTCCTGCTCTTTTTTTAACCTTAGGTCATCTTAGGTTAAAAAAAATTCTCCCCCTAGTGGTAGAGTACGTATTAACCAGCTTTGCATTAGTTCCTATGGGAACTAATGCTTCAATGTACGAACGCACCTCTACATAACAAAAAAACAGCCAGAATGAATTAATTGGTTTTCAGTCCATTCCTATGGGAAATTTTGCTTCAACTTAAGAACGTTTCAACTTAAGAACACCATTCCAAAATGGATTAAGTTCTTAAGTAGAGGTTCCACTGTAGTTTCTATGGACGGAAAAGAGCAGATACGGATTAAATGGTTTTCAATGCATTCCTATGGGAAATGCAGATTCATCATAAGAACTTTTCAACTTGAGAACCACCTTCCAATACGGATTAAGTTCTTAAGTAGAGACCCCACTGTATGTTATAAAAAGTGCAATTGTGTTGTCTTTATTGGCCAGGTAGGATCGGCCATCTTGGCTTCTCTCGATTTTCAGTAAGTGGTCACCTATAGATTGTTGCTTTTGAATCACTTCCTTCTTCTTCAAGAAAAGTGTTACCAGCCTGCCATTGGCCCAACTTTGCTTCTTATTCACCTCTAACTCAGCTTCTGTTTTTCCTCTTCTTTTTAGATAGCGGGAGAGACGCCTGCAGATAAGACCCAAAGTCATCGTCGGTCGAGTCTGGTAAGAGTTTAAATGCAATGCTCCAGTTGAAATAACCCTAATTAGCCATCCTGTCTTCAGAATATTTTATCTGAATTTAACTGGAGTCAGGAAACATATGGTGAAAGCGGCAAGGATTTTTCATTAGCAGGGATAATGTCGTTATTTGCCACTCTGTGGGAGGGCTCTGTCGTTTTACGTATATCGCATGCCAACACATGGCAGAGTAAAGTAGCGACTTCAGGCAGCAGATTTTGGATGACATGACAGGGCAGCATATTATCCATTTTAACACTTTATTATTGTTGTTGTTTTCACTTCCAGGAATGAGGAGGGGTGGTTGTGGGACTTTACAATAACGTGGTTGGTTTGGGTCAATATGTACACGGAGCTTCCAATTTGCTACTCTACCCGAGGCATCAAAATGTCTTTTATCTGCCCTGTTTATACTGCCATCTTTTATCGGAAAGCTGTGACAGGTGTGGAAGTGTAGGTCATTTCTTCTTCGGCATACATTTTTATGCTATGGTATGCTATGACATGCTGTCTTTACTTCAGCAGCTAGAGAGTAAGGTGGCTAACAGTTACTTAACAAGCAACAAAAACTGAGATAAAGTTAGTTATAAAGATTTAAACAGAACTAAACTCATTAGCCAAAATGTTGTTGCTTAATACAGGAAGCCATAAAGTGAATATCCATTCGGGGGTAGAGTGATTGACTAGGACTCAGGGGGCCTGGTTCGAATTTCCACTCAGTTGTGGGAGCTCCCTATGAAAGTGGAACTGGTAAAACCCACTCCTTAAATATCTCACTTACTTTGAAAGCCCTGTTAGGATTGCTGTCAGATCATTCTGACTCAAAGGCACATAATACACACAAGAGTAGGTGTACTGAATCAGAGGGGATATGGTGAGTCAGCTCCTCTAAAAGTTCCATTGATTCAGATGGGTCTACTCTAACTGTGACTTACTTTAGTGCGGTAAACTACAGCTAGAGTAGGCCCACCTGGATCAATGGAGCTTACAGAGGAGTTGACTCACTACTGTAAATACCCATTGATTCAATGGGTATTCTACTAAACGACTCACTAAATATCCATTGATTCAATGGGTATTCTACTAAATAACAGAATTTTGGCCAATATATTATTAAAATAAAGTTAAAATGAAATTAAAAGACTTTTAAAAATCTTAATTAAATACTAATAATAGTTTACCTTTAAAAAAGAGAGAAAAACAGTGCATCAGCTAACGTTCACTGAAGGCTGCCTGAATAAAAAGGTCTTTGCTAACAGCAGAAGGATAGCACAGAGGGGGGGCAAACCTGGCCTTTCTTGGCTAGGCATTGCAGAGACGGGGGTCAGCAACCAAGATGGCCCTCTCTCAAGTCCCCACCAAATGAACCTCTGATGGGCCATGGAAAGGGCCTCTCCAGCAGATTTCAGTGCCCTGGCAGGCTTCTTTGGAAGAATACAGTTCTTCACATAGCCTGGACCAAAGTTGTATAGTGCTTTATAGGACATAACTCTTTGAATTGCTAGAAGTGGAGCAACAGCCAACAAAACACTCATGGAAGAGGCATTGCATGCATGTTTGTGGGGAGGGAATTATATGCTGCACTTCTGGGGGTAGGTTGACGTTTGCAAACACTCTTTAGAGCAGACTCACATAGGTGACATTAGAGTCATGTGTCTTGAGAGTCCCCTGGCCGGCAAGGAGAACAAACCTATCAATTCTGAAGGAAATCAACCCTGAGTGCTCACTGGAAGGACAGATCCTGAAGCTGAGGCTCCAATACTTTGGCCATCTCATGAGAAGAGAAGACTCCCTGGAAAAGACCCTGATGTTGGGAAAGTGTGAAGGCAAGAGGAGAAGGGGACGGCAGAGGACGAGATGGCTGGACAGTGTCATCAAAGCTACCAACATGAATTTGACTCAACTCTGGGAGGCAGTGGAAGACAGAAAGGCCTGGCATGCTCTGGTCCATGGGGTCACGAAGAGTCGGACATGACTAAACGACGATGAAGTCATGTGTCATCGCCCCAATTGGATACCTCCAGGAACTGGTGCAAGTAGCATATTAGTTTTAACTGTGCAAATGCACTCTGGCCACCACCTATGAGCATCCAGCCCAGGGTTGAATCCAGAAGTGCATCTAATATATGAACCAAAGATTTAAGGGGGAGTGTAATCACATGCAGTCCACAATGGAGTCATATTCCATTCCTTCCAATGACCATAATCACCTCCGTCTTGTCTAGTTTAAGTTTCACCACATGCAGTCCACAATGGAGTCATATTCCTTGGTTTGTCCTTCAAATGACCATAATCACCTCCATCTTGTCTAGTTTAAGTTTCATATTGTTCACCCTCATCCACTTGATTACTGACTCCAGACACTGGCTTGGAACCAAACAACTTCCTAGATTTAAGTAGAAAGCATACACAGAGATGGGCATCATCAGTTCAGTTGTGGCATCAAACTCCAGAGCGCTGGATAATCTCTCCCAGAGGCAGCATGCGTATGTATGTGGTCCCCTATGCTATTTGCTGAGGCCAACAGAGCACAAGCCAACATCAGGGCATCAAAGAGGAGTTTCCTCCCAATTCCAACTTGACCCTCCTGGAAAGACCAGTGCCACTGTAAGACAGTGTTCCCAGGTCTTATCCCAAAAAAAGGGTGACCAACTGTGGTTGATGATATCAAAAGATGCTCAAGTTAATTCAAGCAGAACTAACAGGGATTCATTCCCCCGTGCAGTTTCTTGCAAGGGATGTCCACTGAGATGGTCAAAGCTGATTTTGCTCCATACCTGGGCCTGCAGCTAGACTGAAATGGATCTGAATCTCTGGAGCTGGGAGCCCAGTAAATTCCAAGCACCTAGCCAAATAATGGAATACAGTGGTGCCTCGCTAGACAGTTAACCCGCATTACAGTTTTTTCACTAGACATTGACTTTTTTGCGATCGCTATAGCGATTCGCAAAACATTGATTCCTATGGGGGAATTTTGCTGGACAATGTTTCGTCCCTGCTTAGCAAAGTGATTTTCACTAGATGGCGATTTTGACAGCTTCCTCTGCGCTTGCAAAACAGGTGTTTTTGGGACCTAAGCTTCGCAAGACAGCGATTTAAACAGCTGATTGGCGGTTCGCAAAGCAGCTTTCCTACAGCCAATCTTCGCTAGACAACGATGATTCTTCAACATTGGAATGCATTAAACAGGTTTCAATGCATTCCAATGGGGAAATGCTTTTCGCTAGACAATGATTTCGCTAAACAGCAATTTCAGTGGAACGGATTATCATCGTCTAGCGAGGTACCACTGTATTGGAATCTGCCTGGTGGTTATTCATCATGACAGGATTCAGGGAAGACCAGGGAGGGATCTTACAACAGTCTCTTTCACGCATGATGAGATCCTTCATCCATTCAGACCTTCCCTGGTTACTTGTAGGAGCCAGGAAGTCAAGAGTCCAGCATTTTTTTCAACTTTCCAATGATCGTCCATATCCTCAGGCTATACAAGTGGGAACATATCTACTATTATTGGGCAATCCGGAATCAAAGTGATATCCACTGGGACTTCATCAGTTACATTGTCCAAACTGAAATGGATTTGAGCTATTTCACCCGCAGTGCCCTGCAAACTGTTTGCAACAGGCTGTTGAGTGGCTTCTATTTTCTTCTTGCAGGCCAAAGCAATAACAGGCCCTTGACCACTCAAAACAGCCAACTCTGTGCAGCTGCAATGATGGCAGAGAAAAATGATGTCTTCACTGCCAACATTGCCATGGAGCAGCTCTAACGAGTTTCAGCCCACGTTCAGTCGCATTTTTTTCCAGGTTTTCTGCCAACGTTACTCTGGTCTCCTTCCCGCTCGTTCTATCACCGCTAACTCCCTAATAAATCAGAGAGCAAGTATAGCTCTACCCTGCGGAAGTACACTTAGGAACAATTGACTACTGCTCTGGGTGTTTCCCCATTCCGGAGGTCAACCTTTAAGTAGCATCGTTCTGATGTTTGCAGTGATGTACACTGGAGAGGAACTCAGGATCCTGCCTTGCATCTTATTGTCACTGCAACATCTGAGGGAGAGACTGAGCACTATAGACAAAGGCACACAAGACACCTCTTTTCATATGCTGTATTTGTAAGGATATTTAGCATTTTTATTAGCAGAATGCAGCGGGCTGTTGCTGAATGTATAGCCCTTAGGAGTAACTACTCTGGAAACTGGTAGTGAGGTAGAAATAGAAAAGATACATTTATTGCTTTTTGAAATCCATTCAGAGAAATGGGCTACAGTCCACAAACGCTTATACCAAATGAAACATATTTTTAAGGGGCAATAGGCTCTTTCGTTGTTCATTCAGACACAGTGTGTGAGGAAACCAACAAGGGAGAGGTTAATGATTCCCTCAAAGCCTCAAAAATATGGCCACCCCACCAACAAGGAGTCCAAAAGAGTTTGTTTGCTTGTGATGACCCAATTTTTTTTTCCATACAGACCCTCTGTTTTTCCATATGGGTCTGTCTGTCTGTCTGTCTGTCTTTCTTTTTCTTTTTTCTTTTCTTTTCTTTCTTTTCCTTTCCTTTCCTTTCCTTTCCATTCCTTTCCTTTTTCCTTTCCTTTCCTTTCCTTTCCTTTCCTTTCCTTTCCTTTCCTTTCCTTTCCTTTCCTTTCCTTTCCTTTCCTTTCCCTTCTTTCTTTCTTTCTTTCTTTCTTTCTTTCTTTCTTTCTTTCTTTCTTTCTTTCTGTAGCCCCAGCTAATAGAACAGAGCCATGGCCATCACACAGGCTTGGTGTGATTCAGAGGCGCATGCTGCACATCATGTTCCACTGATGTACCCTTTCAGTGGACACTTTGGAGTCATATGAGAAGTGGGGGGGAGAGATGAAGCGGTTTGAGTCAATTGTACCAAGTTTCTTTCTTATGTTTTGTATTTGTTGTTTGCTTGTTTTCTGACCGCATAGACAGGAGGTCCCACAGAGAGGAGCCAGAAGTATCAGGAGGGCTTGGTAAGCATAGTAATACAATGGATCTGGAACGTACAGGATCAAAGGACCAGAGCTTTTAGATGATCCAGGATGGTGAGGGTGGCATGTTCCTTAGCATTACCATCTCATGCTTCCTTGTTCCCCTTGAGCTTATCTGGAAACCTCCCATTAGCCGGGGAGGGAGGGATTTCCTCAGCAACAGTCTATTGTTGTGAACGCTTCCTGATGTAATGTAAAGTGCCTGGAGATGGGTTTCTTTCAGATGGGCAAAGAAAACCCATAAGGTTTACAAAAGCTCTGCGCCAGGTGGAGATATAAATTGCTTGAACTGCTTTGATGACATGGCCCGATACGGTTGTTGACATGTTTTTGACTCTTCTTATGGAAACTCACGTAGTGTGTATGTATATGTGCACTTCAAAAATGTACCACCGGTAATGTCTTTAGGCAACTGCGGTCCTCCAAATGTTGGACTGTACAATTCCTTACCCTTGCTTGTACTTCTTAAGACTGACTTGCAGCCAAAAGCATCTGGAGGAGCACAGCTGCACATCCCTGCCGTAAATATACAGTGGACCCTCGGCTTACAGACGGCTCCACTTACAGACTTTTCGAGTTACAGACTTCTCTGGCTGCAAAATTTAGGTTCGACTTGCAGCTGGAGAATCGACCTACAGACAGGAAAAAACAAAACAAAATGGAACAAAAATGGCTGGTTATGGATTAATCGGGTTTCAATGCATTGTAGGTCAATGGAGTCTCGACCTACAGGCTTTTTGACCTGCAGCCACCGTTCCAATACAGATCAATTCTGTAGTCGAGGGTCCACTGTATATTCTGCGGGCAACATAACAATTTTTAGCCCTATGCTCCCCTTCAGTGGATGCTTATGAGTGATAAATGGAAATGTCAAACTGTTTATACATGTTACTGAAAACTAAGACTTAACTGGGTTCAATGAAATTTAATCAGATTTAAACTCACGCAAGATATTACATGATTGAAACTTTCAATCCGTATGACGTTTGATCCACACATGAGGTGGGAAACTGTGTGCGATGCCCAGTTTTCAAAATGGACTCTCACTTCAAATCATTCAGAGAGGAAAACATTGTTATGGCAGAAAATCTACTCATGCTGTATTTTTCCTTTGGGGGGGGGGAGAAATAATTTTTATGACAACATTAAGTAAAAGTGGGAAACTGGATTTGTACTCTCTCTCTATTGTGCAAATTCTTTTCCTTACAGAGAAAGAATTGTTTACTTGTGTTTCTTTAACGGGAAGGCATTTTAAAAACTGGCACCCCAATCTAGTTTAGCGCTAGATTGGATTATACCACTATATTTCAATGCATATGTTCTCTGTCCTCAGACTCTGAACGCTTTCTCAGACCCAAAAGCTGCAAAGACCAAAGGGCTATCATGGAAGAAGAAGACAAATAATCTGAATTGTTTAGGTTCCTTTCCGTACCTATATCTCCCCTTCCTACAAACTTTTTTTTCCAATTGCCTGTATGAGAGGAGAAAGCATTAGTAATGAAATGCTGCAGTTTTCTGTAATCATACCCTTCATTTCTCCAGGAAGGAACATCTTTGGACCAAAATCAGGGTCATGATGGAAGCTCGGTAAGACTGCTTGTGCAGTTCCTCAAAACGATATTAATTAGCTGTCGTTTGGCGCTGTCTCCCTAAAAGATTATTAGAAACATCTGGGCATTGTAGCCAGGGAGAGAGAAAGGGGAAGGAAGCAAATGAAGCTTGCTTTTTCATTTCAGTGTTCCTTTGGTGATTTCCAAATGGACATGAAGCCTCTTAAACATGAAACATTCATGCTAAGGAAAGAGGGTTACACAAAAGTTTCATGCTCTTTTATGTATCCACCTTTGTTTTATCCAATGCATGCCTGATAATTTTTTGTGAAATACTGTAGCATCACGAGGAACATCAGCAGTACATCAGAATGCCTCTGATTGGCTGGCATGGAAAGTTTGGATGTGTAAAAGGGCCTGGAATCCATCTTTGCTCTGTTGTTCTGTATCCTTTTTGCCTTGATTTTTAAGGTTACGTGTTCCATTTCTTATTGTTTTTGCAGCTGCCATGCACAGCCTGCCTATGCCAGTAAAATGTCTTCATGGGCTTATTTTTTGAATTTCATTTCCCTCACCACCACCACCACCACCTCAGTCCTTATATCTTTGGGGAGTTTTCCCTCCCCCTCCCCTTCCCCCCCCCAGCTGTTTTCTTACTCTGCCGCCTGCTTGCCCTACCTGGTGCCAATTCACTGAAGAGGAACAGAGAAGTCATCAGGTGGTGGGAGGAGAGAAATCTCCACATATTCCAGTATGTTTGGTTGGAGGTGCACTTGGGTAGTATTTTTTGCCTTTATTTTCTTGTTTTCTTTTTCAAAGTTTTCGGAAGAGCGGGGGTGATGTGTGTGCTTTTGCTAGATTTTCCTTCAGTGTGTGACAGGGTGCTTTCCCTGTTTGATTGATTTTTTAAAAGGGATTTGATTAACATACTGTGTATTTTATTCTGTTAAATGTTTATATTTTGGTGGGCCTTTGGGGATTTATTTTGTTTTTTTGCTTCTGGAAGTATGTGGACCAGGAGAATGGTGGACTGCTTACTGCTTCCCCGCCTTTCTTTTCCTCTTGTGCTGCCTAAGCCCAGAGATTTTTTTGTTGGGCCAGGTGAGTGGCACTGACTCATGCTTTCCCCCACCCCTCTATCCTAATTTTTTATGCTTTCCTACTTTTTTTTAATTGTTTGGTGATTGGAATGAGTTTTTCTATTTTTATTTTTTGCTCTGTGTGTAGGACTGGTGGTGATGGGGCATCTTGACTGGAAGAGCACCTTTGTGTGGCCTCTCCTGGTAGTAGGCACTGCCAGAGACTGGCTCTGCTTTTGCATTGTAGTGTGGGGATTTTGCTTTGTAGTTGTAACTGGACTAGTTTGGTGCTGCAACGGATCTGGTGGCAGCATAGTTTGGCCTAGAGAAACGAGCTGCTTGACCACAACTTCATCTCACCCATGGTCAAGCATGCTCCGCCTCTTGGGCCAAAGAAGTCCATCCATGAGCATGAGACAAGGGAGGTTTGCTATCTTTGGGGGAGCTGCGAGAAGATAACTGGCTCACTTTTTGTGCACTATGAAGAGCAATCTCCTGCTACATAAGAAGGAGATGGATACCCCGAAGCACTGTCTCGTCTCCAGTGTTAGCATCAAGTGTGTGTGTTTGGTGGAGCACCACCTTGGGGTTCACCAGGTGGTTGGAGCAGTAGGTATAAGTAGATAGAGGTGTCCTGGCCTCACGGAGCTTCATTCTCTGGGAACTCTGGCTCAGATCATGATGATCCTGAGGCCATTTAAGGATGTTATTGAGGCTCTGTGTGGAGTCACCATGGGTTTGGAACACGGCCTGCTCCTTCCCAGTGTCCTCAAGACCCAGAGGAACAAGGTTAAGCTGCCTCTTCTAAGCTTCCCTGACCTGCACATCAAGATGGACAAGAGGGACTAGGAGAGTGGCCAGCTGTGCTGCTGGCCACGTGCAAAATACGTTATTCTTAGTCTGCAGAAAAATAAGATGGTTGGGCATGCCTGAACCATGTTTGTGTGGCAGAGCCACACACAGGGTCTTCTTGTGTGAGTAAAAGGGAATGACCTGCAGTCAAGCGAAGTTTAAACAGACCAGATAGCAGGCAGCCCTCTTTCTAGGAGCCAGACAAACCCAAGAGGAAAAGAAGGGTATGTCTAATCCTAGCCAGTCAAACACCCTCCCTCACCCATATCTGAGGCCGGCCAACATCCTCTCTCACACCCCAAAAATTCAAAGTCTTCTTCTCTGTCTGTATCTGAGAAAAACGTTTTGGTGTGGCGGGCACCAGCAACACTAGCAGTGCCCACAAGGTTAGGTGAGAGGGAATTGGGTTGCCAGCGCCAAGCAGGAAAGACAGTGGGCCTGCTATTAGCAGTGAGGATGAGGATGATGGAGACTGTGATCATATCAACTAGTGCTGTCTACAAATGTCTGGTGATAATTTTTCTTCCTCACTTTTGTTTCTTGCTTTGGGAGTGGTTGGCTCCCAGCTGTTTTGCCTCTGCTTGTTTCGGCGTTGTTTTTTAGGTTTTACGGCTTTCGGACGAGTGCCGGGAAGCCCAAATGGGGAAACCTGAAATGAATGATCCTGCAGGAAGCCTTCTCTTTCATGTCAGACAAAAGGATTGAGATGCACAAGCAGGAAGGCCAAAGAAAAGCAAAAGACACACTCCCCCAAAAGAACCTGGAATGATGGAAACCAAAATTTTCAGTGTGCACAATCCTAATTCTGTCTTGCTTTAATCAGTTACAGTGGGGCCGTAGGAGGCCCAGATGGTAAAATGCAGCTTTCTGAGCTTGTATAGATAGGCCTGGAGGCTTCTAGAGAGTCAAAGATGGAGGAACATGCAGCATGTAAGTGGGATGCAGAGTTTAATGCATGCAAAACAGGATAACAATGAAAATTGTTGATAGAACAAGAATGAGAGAATTGCTAAGTAAATTTCAACACACTTTCTTGGGGTAGTAAATAAAAACAAAACAGATGTCTTATGGCATCTTTAAGATTCATACACATATTGACACTTTCTCCCTTATTCAGGAAGAAAAGCAGTTATTAATTTATTTAATGTAAACTTTCGTGGATTACAATCCACTTCCTCTGATCCATGGAGTAAAATTAATTAGGCCATGGGTTTATATATACAGTGTATGCAGTTGTGGGGTATGGAACAGAATGCAAAAGATGAGAAATACCATGTTTTTCCATGTATAAGATACCTCCGCGTATAAGACACCCCCCCCATTTTTCTAACCCAAAAGTAAGAAATCTAAGTGGGACTTAGCAAGTGTAGGGGGAAAGGGATCAAAGCCCTGCAGGATCACTTTGATCCCTGCTTTCCCTTCCATTTGTTTTTCTTCTCCTCTCAGCTTACTTCCGTGTATAAGACAACCCTCAATTTTTATTCTAAGGATTTTAGACAAAGGTATAGTCTTATACATGGAAAAATATGGTAAATACCTCTGTAGAAGAATGGTAACCTTTTTTTCTTAGTCATATTTCAAATATTCTTTGTTTCTCCACTCCTTTAGGCAGGAGGAAATCCAGAAAGAAGCCAAAGGCATCAGGAGAGCTCGGTAAGATGTACACACTAAATACGATATAAGGTTACCTGTGTCAAAGCAAAGCAAAATGTGCTGCTTATATACCACCTGATAGCACTTATAGCACTCTCTGGGCAGTTTACAATGTAATTTTTGAGTCTTCATGTATTTTAATTTTTTTAAAAAAAAACACGCTAATTGTTTTCAGATTCTAGTCTGGCTTCCCTGGGTTCAGAGAAGGAGGAGCAGGAAATGTAGGGAGACATGGCAAGCTGGCTAATAGAAAGGCCAGTGAGACCTTTAAGACCACACAGTTTTATTTAGCAGATGTTTTAGAATCTGCAGGCCACAAAAGTGGCTTAAAAAAAATAAATGGGCTAGCCTTAAAGGTGTCACAGGCCTTTGATGTTTCTGCCATAACAGGGTAACACAGCTACCGTCTTGAAGCAATTTTTCTTTCATGTGCATAAGTTTAAAGTCTTGCTTTCTAATATATTCCCAGCCATGGTGATACTTCCTGCAAGGACCAGGGTCTTAAAAATAAAAATAAATCAGAGGCTGTTTTATTTTCCCCATCTCCACCTTCTTTCAAATGGAGAATGGATCTTATCTGGCTGATTTACCTGTGTTCAAATCCACTCTGTTTTTGAAGAGGATCAGCCACATTATGGGAAGTCAAAGCAGCCTGCCATTCTGGAAATCTACAGACTTTACAAACTTATTTTTAGTCTACGTGATTACCAGACTGTTTTGGCTACATATTCCCTTTGGAAAATCATGGAATTCATTCATCCTCTATTCAAGACTTAATGACTAAACAACAATAACAAGAAGTTGCCTGGTGTTTGCAGCTTGTTAAGATTACTGTCCTCTAACCATGCTTCCTGCCAATCTGGACAGCCAGAGCAGAGCTACCTTAACAAGCTGTAAACAAGGTGAGTGCTAATTTCCTCCCCTTTTTCTGGAGACTCCTTAGTAGTAGGCTGAAGTGAATTAACCCAGGAAATCCCAACTTTCACAGCAAATAATTTCACATTTTTTCCTGCCATGTAGTCACACCCTCAGTCATTATCATTATTTCCATTGTTTCTCCAGCCCCAGCAAGAAGGATCTTCTGTGGGCAGAAGTCCAGATCATCAGGCAAAATTGGTAAGACTGAGCATGGCATTGATTAGTTGCCCTTGGCACTCCTTCATCGCATACCTAGAGTTGGAAATATGGTGATTCTAACTTGTTTCAATTAATAATCATGCAGTCTTGATCTCTTTATGGATTATAATGAGATAGTTATATGCAGAGATGCAAAAATGCTGCTCTGATTGCTCATAGAGTATATTAGCACCCTGATATTTTCATTTACGCCCTTCCACATTCTCTTACAATTGGCCATGGTTGTTCAAAGCCAATGTATCTGGGGGGACAGAGGTTCCCCCCTTTTTGTTGAAAGTGGGGAGGATCTAGGAGAAGCAAAGGCAAACATTTCTTCTCCAATTCCCATTCCAAACCATGACTGGTAATTCAGGGGCTTTTAAAGCTCATCTCTTGTTTCAGACTTGGATGAAGCCACATAGTGTTATTATCCCAAAATGTATCTTATTCTAACAGATTTTCCCCCTTGTATTTTACTTCTTTTGGTATCTGAAGCTCTAAGATTGAATACTTTATTTATTTACGGTCAAAGACCAGTAAAACTGAATCAATATAAAATAGATACATTAAACATAAAATTCCATTAAACATGATAAAAGAATCAATATAAAATAGATACATATAATTATATGGTAAAATCAGGGTAATAAAATTCCATTAAACATGATAAAACAACTCCTTATTTCCAGTTAATAACATCATGTATCCTTAACATAAGTAAAACCTCAGACAGCTCTAAGATTGTAGCGTACTAGCTTGGGAGTAAGTCCAACTTGAAGTCCCCGAGCCTAAAATTCTCCTTTCCTTCTTGACTTCCATGTACCTGAGGAACTTGGAGACTAGCCCATATTCTTAATCTTTCTTAAGTCATGAAGAACTAATACACAGAGATGTTCTGATGTATATATTTAGATCCAAAGCTATTTACTGATTACCGGAATGGGGAACATATGGGTCTTTAGATTTTGTTGACTGCAGTTCCTGCCATCCCTTACTACTGACTGTGCATTCTTCACTCCTGACCTAATAGAACTATAATTACTGATTTATTTGGGGATTTATCTAGGATTCAAAGGTTTATGAGTAACAACTTCTTCATTTTTAACTATCAACAGCACACTGGAAAATCAGGAGAGTGAGAAGAGACAAGCCAGGGGTCAGGACTTTGGGAATTACGCATCATGGGAAAAGAGGATCGCTACAGAAGATGCCAGAAGCCGGTGGCAATCAGTGGATTAGCAACCAAAAAGGCTAAATCATGTGACTGACAATAATGTGGTTAGAATAATTTCCAAAATGGAGACCTTTCAAAACCAGCAGCACTTTGGCATGTTAAAAAACATTGGCTGTAAGAAATTCACCAAGGGAAGGGAGAAAATTTACCACAGACATTGAACTCAAGCGACAGCCTTAATATTAACACGATTCCTTGGATATGAGTTATGAAGGAACTCTCCTCTGAGCAGGCAGGATTTCTCATGAGTAACTTCCGGAGTTCCTTATGTGGTTTGGAAAATTCAAAGTTCTGGCCCATTCTTTGCAGGCAAAACCAAGAATGAACACCCAGGATTTCCGGATATGAAGATATACCTGTAACAATGTTCTAAGCCATTAGTGGCAAATATTGTTGAGTCTAGGTTGACGCATATGACTTACGTCTGGCCCAATAGGAAGGAATGTGGGGAAGAGTACTGTTGCCTTAGGCAACGTTCATCATGAAATTTCGGATCATGGGTTCTCTCATATACTAGTGTTCTAATCAAGAGACATTGGTTTAACCTTCTTCTGGCCTTCTGTAAAGCCACACGCTGGCGCTGTGCCCTGCTCCAGCAACTGCTATCTCATCTGGGATTGCTTTGCATGCAGCGAGAGGAAGAGGATTTTGTTTGCTAGTCTGATAGAGATGGAGGTATTCATATACGAATATCCCCGCACAGGTGGCATTAACAAGGGTCCAGCCCCATGGGGCTGGATGGTCCACACACCAATCCACCATGGACGCAGATGGCGGAATTCTACCAATGGCTCCACAGCACGCGATCCGCTCGCCACTCCTGGCAGGAGGCAGGAGGACAACCCTCGCTGCAAGGACGAAGAGTGGTGAGCGGATCAGGCCCTGCAGAGCTATTGGTAGAATCATGCCATCCGCATTCACAGCGGATCGGTGAGTGGACCGTCCGGTCCCATCGGACTGGACCCTCGTTAACGCCACCTCTGTGGGTATATTCATATACAGATACCCCCATCTCTATTCCTGATTATCACACCATCTGGTTAACTGCACACTAAAATGAAATATCCTGGAGAGTGCTGTATATGTTATGAAAAGTGCTGAAGAATGTGATGAAGGGCTGTGGATGCAGTTTTGCAGATCAGCTTTCAAAGTTGTGCTCCCTTCAGTTTTCGTAATACATTAATTTCATAATATATTATACAATAACTTTGGTCTGTGTTATATACAAAATAGTATATTGCTACTTATTTACTTCTGCTGATTGGTCTCTGCCATTGTCTCTGAAATTAAAAAAAGAAGAATGCTCCTTACCAGTAAAATTCCTAATTTTTCCCTAACATTTTTTTAAAGGTGCTTCATAGATTAACTGGTTTCTGCATGGACGTCACTCCCACATAGCAGGTTACTCATGTATTATAACACATGAGTAACTTGCTATGTGGGAGTGACTTCCAGTGTGTCTCAGTTTGGGCCAGCCTTTTTCTAACCCAGCACCTTCCAAATGCATTGGACTATACGTCCCATCATTCCTAATCATGGTCCCTGGGTAAGATGGGAGATGTCACCCTAAACAGCTATAGGACACCATGCTGGAAAAGCCTGGATTAGATGGATCACTGCAATATTTCAGTAGACAAGGAATTTTTCACTTCTGCATCATTTGCCAATTTCCAGAAACGTTTCTGGTTGACCTACCTGCAGTTCTCATAGCACTGTCTTGCTTTAAAAAGGAAGTTCGTTGCTCTGAAGCAGTGGTTCCTCACCTTGGGCCCCCAGGTGTCCTTGAAACGCAACTCCCAGAAATCCTGGCTAGCACAGCTTGAAGGCTTCTGGGGGTTTTTGTCCAAGAACATCAGGGGGACCCCAGGCTGGGAAATACTGCTCTCAAGATTCTCCCTGGATGATGAGTAGAAGACAACACTTGCTCACAGCAGATCTACCACAATTGTGCTAAAAGGTCAACTACTAGTTATCAGAGTGTGGTAGAGCACTGCTGGAGTAATCAGTACCCCTAGCAAGCCATTTATCCCCAACCCAGACACTCAGGGAAGACCCTTGGAGCCAGCAGCTGAAGAATATGAACCTCTGACCTGGGTGGGGGAAGAAACCACTCCCAAGGAGAAGCACCTGCAGAGAGGGAAAGAGGAGAGAACCTCCCCATAGCTGAAGGCTATAAGGGAGGCCTTAGAGGAGGCAGTGGGGTAGTGAGTGGAAGGGAGGATGAGGGATACGTGTGGGTAGCAAGCGGTGACTCTTTGGATCTGGAGGAGGATGTCCAGAAGGTGGAACGGGGCTGGGGCTGGGTGTACCCCCAAGGATCCCTGGATGGGAGTTCCTGTCAAATTTTGCATGCCCTCAGGGCAAGGCAGTGCGCCATAGGCAACCTGCCAGAGTGGACCTCCCCGGCCTCCACATAGAGACGACCATCGCCAGCCTGAGTGGAACCCCCAGGCCCCATGCCAACGCTGGAGGCAGAAAGGATGCTAACAGTGCCTTCTGCAGCTGTTGTCACTTCAGACAACATTGCAGTGAGGGCCAAGCTTGGGGTTTGGCAGCCTTTCAAGCCCTCCCTCGTCCAGGCACCCTCCTTTGGACGCTGCTGCTGAAGGACGTTAGAGATTCACACGCCCTAGAACTTGCTGTGACTGTGCAAGGACAAGTGGCATCAACTTTACCCCTGGGATAAGTTTTGTAGGAGTGGTGCAAACTCTCCCAGTTATTGTTATTTACCCTCCCTCTGTTCCAATAAATCCTCCTTTGGACGCTGCTGCTGAAGGACGTTGGAGATTCACACGCCCCGGGGAAGGTAGCTCAAGGCCCAGAACTTGCTGAGACTGTGCTGAGACTGTGCAAGGACAAGCGGCATCAACTTTACCCCTGGCATAAGTTGCAGGAGTGGTGCAAACTCTCCCAATTGTTGTTATTTCCCCTCCCTCTGTTCCAATAAATCTATCTGAGCCACATCATATGGAGTTGATGGATATGGGCATGGAACAGGGTTGGAACACTGAACCCACCAGGGGAGGGAATGAGAGGGCTTGCCTTCAAAACTCTACTGCAAACGTGTACATACTGCACATAAAAAGAAATGGGCCATAACGCAATGAGGGCCAAACTAGACATTGGCAAAAATCTACTAGCAAGTTGCAACTAGAGTAAGCCCATTGAATCAATGGGCTGATTGATTCAATAGGCTTATTCTAGTTACGGTGTCCTATTGAATTTCAGCCATTATGTTCCATGCAATCCCTGCATATAATGCAAGCTTTTTTTTTTAAAGCAAATGCCAGCAGCTGATGGGTGGGTATGTAAACTCTCAGGTTGGCCACGGTCAGGGAAGAGAGCTCAAATTTTTCCCTTCCTTGGAAAAGAGTCCCAATGAAAACTGCTTGTCCAAGAGCAACTGCGGTTTCATTGTTAGAAAGAATGTGCTTATTTTAAAGCAAAGAATCTTGGCATGTTGTGTCTAGATCTTATTCAGGATGGTAAAACGCTTTGGCAGCTTCTGGCACCAATGATATTGTACCTCATTACTGCAACCGGTAGATGGCACTGAGGTCCTTTTAGTCAGAAGACAGCAACTTGAGGAAGGGAGCATGGGGAAAGGATCAAGAATGGGCTGATGAAATCCTCAGAATCCTTTATTCCCCCTGCCCCTCAATAATCCAACTATTGACACGTGGTGGCTTTGAAAAAGACAACAATCCCTTTCCAACAATGTTCACTGATATTTGTTTTAGACCAGAGGCCCCCAACCCTAGATACTCTTGGACAAAAACTCCCGGAAGCCCACGTGGTGGCTTTGAAAAAGACAACAATCCCTTTCCAACAATGTTCACTGATATTTGTTTTAGACCAGAGGTCCCCAACTCTAGATACTCTTGGACTAAAACTCCCGGAAGCCTTCACCACCAGCAGTGTTGGCCAGGATTTCTGGGAGATGTAGTACAAGAATATCTGGAGACCCAAGTTTTCCGGTCTTCAGTATATCAACATATGTCTTTACTCTTCTTTGTAACTTAAAAGAATCCCAATTCTTTTTATATATATAGAGAGAGAGATGCTTTCCTGGACAAAGTTCTGCCAAAGCCACATCTTTAGGCACAACGTCTTCAAAAAGAGACCACAGTTTTTATCTGCATTCCTCAGCTCTAACTCTGACAGTATTAACAAACAGCTGTTACTGACTCTCTCTCACATACAAATCCTTATGTTCAAAATACTCTCTCCAGGCAAGAACCACACAGACAGTTAGTTCACGGTTCCATACATAAACATTCCTTCGCACTTCTCAGCTGTCATAATCGCTGCTCTTGGCACACATCTCCCCAGACAACTGACAGTCTATCCTTGCCATCTACCAATTGACCCAATACAAATAAATACACAGTAAAAATGACACAAGGGACCTCACCTGTTCTCCAAAAATTCTCAAAGATTAGAGAGAGAGGCTCCAAGATCACATCTGTAAATTCCTTTAAAATATCTAGGAGCAATTCACCAGGACCAGGAGAACCTAAATTCACTTAAAAAGAGATAGTCCTCTGCCCTCACCCTTTTACCGCTCTATGCCAACAGTCACGTCCGTTTCTCCTGTATTGTTGGAGACAATATGGTAAGCACTGTTTTTCTTTCCGCAGAAGCAGGTGTTTAGTAGCTCTGCCTTTTCTTTGCCACCCCATAATATTTCTCCACCCCCACCCCCTAGCAGGCATACCCTTTTTTTGTTCTGCTTGCTTTGAACATAGCTGAAAACTCCCTTTTAGACATTTTTAATCTCTTGCAAGCCTGAGCTTATTACGCAATTTTTTTCCTCTTCCACATCTTCTCTCTGCAATTGACTACTTGTTTGTATTCTTCCTTTACAAATCCAAAAAGGGCAGGGTCACATTAAGACATAGTTTCTGCTGTTTTCACTTGGCCGGCCAGTTCTGACTTGTTAACTTGGGCCAGATTCAGAACCGCCGATCCTTTTGTTACTTCAATCATTTTCTGGAAGATGAACTAGTCAGCAAGACAAGTAAGGAATCTGTTAAATATTACAGTCCCAGAAAACTTGGGCTTCAACAGATATCAAGGTGGCTGAAGTCTTTCATTATTATTATTTCTCTCCATGTTGGGAAATGGGATAAAAGGGTATTACCCTGCTCTTCAGATCATGACTGAAGAAGGTATTGTCCAGATAGATCCTTTAGTTTTTACCCAAATGCTCTCCAGAAGCATTCCATATTCCAATACCTGGAGCACCTCACGGTTGTACCTATTCTTTACAAACAGTACAAATGCAGAAGCAGGTGATACCTTTATTAGACCACTTCAAAAATCAAGCAAACAATGGACAGTAAGCTTTCAATGCTAAGTCACCTTCCTCAGGCAGTGCACCAAGTTTTTGTGAATAGTTCAGAAAATTATATACTTTCATTACAGTCCCAAAGTTTCATGTCCATTTTTGGGGTCAGGTCAGCTTCTTGAGGTGGAATCCCAGGACTTTCCTCCATTCACATGTAATTTCATGTAATTACTTGGGGAACAGTGTAGAGCACGAGCGAGGAACCTCTTTGAGTCTTAGGGCCAAATTCAATTTCAAAGCAGTTCTCAGATGCCTCATTCCAGGAAAGGCTAAAGACAAGAGTGAAAATACTGGTATTTTCAATATTGAAGGACTCTAAATAGCAGAATATTTTAGCATAAGGC